TCCTAGATTTCACTGTTTTGTTGTTTTTTCCGCCAGGTGAGGCATCACATTTATCTGGACATCCTGTCACACTTTCCATAAATAGGAGGCGGCATCAGCTCGTGAGGTCCCCACCCTGTTTGCCTGCTGATACCTTTCAAAAGGCATTTGCTCTGTAAACACCTGCTCCACCCAGTTTCCCTCGATCAATACAGCTTTTCTCTCCAGGTTTCCCCTGAAAACTAGGTCTGCTATTTTCCTGTGGGCACCAAGCTCTGGCTGAGACAAAGCCCTTACCACTTCCCACTCCTCAGGGTCAGACACAGCACATGGCTCCTGCTGGCCATGCAGAGTCCTAAAGACATCCTTGGCCTTCCCTAGGTCCAACACAGCTTCCCTGGCCCCAGCAGCCTCTATTCCCACTCTGCTCAGTGCTTGTGAGGCCACACCTGCACTGCTGGGGCCAGCTCTGGGCTCCCCAGTACAAGGGAGATGCAGGGACTGGAGCCAGTCCAGTGCAAGGCCATGAAGGTCTGAAGGATCCTTCATGTGAGGAGAAGCTGAGAGGGCTGGAGCTGCTCATCCCACAGCAAAGTAGTCTTGGAAGGGCTTTGTAGATGTGCATAAACATCTGATGGGAGGGAATGAAGGCAGGAAACCAGGCTGTTCTCAACAGTGCCCTGTGACAGGACAGGAAGCAATGGGAGCAAACTAAACTGCATGAAATTCACCCATGGGAGCTGCCCCACAGAATCCCAGGATGGGACCACAGTGAGTCCATCTGGTGCCACCTCCCTGCTCCAGCAGGGCCATCCCAGAGCCCATGGTACACATTGTGCCCAGACAGCTCTGGGATATCCCCACTGAGGGAGACTGCACACCCTCTCTGGGACCTGTTCAGGGCTCAGGCACTGCCCAGGAAAGTTCTTCCTCATGTCCAGGTGGAGCTGCCTGGGCTCAGGCCCTGCCCGTGGCTCTGGTGCCATGGCTGGGCCTGGAGCAGAGCCCGGCCCTGCTCTGCCCCTCCCTGCAGCCAGGGCCAGCCAGGGCTGAGGGCCCCTCTCAGCTGGGGCTCCTCTCCAGGCTGAGCAGCCCCAGCTCCCTCAGCCTTTCCTGGGCACCCACATGCTCCAGGCCCTTCAGCATTTTTTCATCCTCCATTGGACCCATTTCAGGTGCTCCAGGTCTCTCTTGTTCTGAACAGCCCAAAACTGGACAAAATATAATTACAAGGGGAAGTTTGTCCCACCTCTGCTGAGGAGAGCCCATGGCACCCTGTGTTTGGGATGCCCACTTTCATTTCTTCTTCTGCTGACAGACCAGCAAATCCTCCCAGTAACCTGATGTCTTTGATGAAGACAACATGCATAGTCTCAGGAATAGTTCAGATCCTGGATCCTACAAGGCCCTGAGGAATCTGATCCAATGTCAGTCACCCTAAAACACAGATGTCTTTCAGCACTCAAGTGCTGCAGCCTCCAGAGGCTTAAAGGCAAAACCCAGGTTTGTGAGGGATCACTTAATCTCCTGGAGGTCTCTGGCAAGCAAACAAAACCAACCGAAAAGACACAGCAAAGCCTGTTCTCCAGCTGAGCAGAGATGTGTTTGGTTGTTCAAAGGCTTCTGATAAGGTGACTGAGATTAAAGAACAAATAAAAGTACGATTAGGGCCAAAGTCCCAACTCCAGCCAAAACCACACAGCCAGAGCAACAACGCACTCCTTGCCTAAAGCCACACTTATCCAGCTGCTCCTCAGCCTTCCCAGCCAAGAGGAGTTCTACCCAGAGCTGGCACAGGCTCTGCCTTGTCTCTGGGACAAGGTCCCCAGGACAGTGATGTCCCACACAGCCCAGCAGCCACTGCACTGCTCCTGCACTCAGCTCCCACCACACTCTGCTCCCAAATTCCCAGCTGGATGCATTTTCTCCCTGAGCATCCTTTCAGAGAGCTGGTATCCATGGGCATGGCCACTGCAGGCCAGGCTCCCTTCAGTGTCCAGGAGAGCTGTTGGAGTTAATGGGAAATGGGCATGCCTTGCTCTCTCTGCTGGGTGTAAAATTAACTAAAGATCAATTTAGGTGGGTGCTGCTGGAGTGTGGTGCCCGGCAGCGGAAGGAGAGGCCCAGGGGCTGATAGATTGGAGAACGACTGGGAGAGCAAACTGCACCTTGCTGATAAAGCAGAGTGCTGGATACCCCTGAGAGAGTCATCCAGAAATTATCATGGGGCAGTCCAGGAACAGGCCTGTCTGGAAACTGGTCTGAAAAGCAAACAGAAAAATGGTTCTCTGGCAGCGAGGGGACCTTTCTCAAGTTTCTCTCCATTGAGAGTTTTGTGGGAATAATTGCAGACCCAGGAAACTGAAGTGTCCCAGAACTCAGCTTCTCCAGTCTGTCCCTGCATCTGGGACTGCCAGCTGATTCCTGCTGGGACAGCACACACAGTCCTCATGTCTTTTCAGCCCCCTTTATGATCCAGCAAGCTCCAGGCTGCCAGGGTACAAGTGACAAAATGAGCACAGGCTGGCAGAAAACGATGGAGATAAATCCTTGTTTAAGCAAAGTGCATATGCAAACACACAAACATAACGTAAATATTAAAAAAAAAAATAAATAATTAAATACAGGGGGAAAACACAAGCAATGTGAGCAGGGTCCTTGTGGTCATCTGCAGGGAGGAATGGAACCCAGTCCCACATCAGGCATTACTTCCCTGTCTTATCCCAGTGGCAACAACCTCCTTCCAGGTCCTCAGGCTGTGGCTACCTGCAGGAGGCAAAGGGATGAGTGTGGAGCCAGGAGACTCTGGGCTCAGGCACCTGGGCTGCCACTGTGGATGCAGCCAGTGCCACCCTGGTACTGCCCTGTGGGATGGCTCCTCATCCCCTTGTACCAACCAGGCTTCTCTGGAGTCTGCCCCACCATCACAGCATTGCCAAGAGATCTTCCAGGCCCCTCTGACATGAGTTTATGAGTAGCACTCTAAATCCTGGACCTTCCCAGGATAATTTTAACCCTGGATATGACTTTTCTGTACCTCTCCAGTTTACCTGCTCCAGCTAATGGGCTCACTTAAGCAACATGGACTCCTTCTTCCTGAGGTTTTTGTTTATTTTGCAGATGTTCAAAGCAAGGAGCCATCTCCAGCAGGAGATCCATCCCTCTCCATCCCCTGCTAAGGAAACCTCTGCAGGCCACTCCAGACCAAGGAAATTCCCAGATATTGCTCCAGCTGGCAAAGCCCTACAGCAGTTCCATCTTCCCCAGGATCCCAGACTCTGCTGCTAAGAAAGAGCCCTCCCTGGCTGCCTGCACCCTCCAGGCTCAGCTGCCTCCCTTTGCCAACACATACGAGGATGTGGGACTCCTCCTTAGCCAAGGAATTGTCCCCGGGACTAACAGTGGCTTTTCTCCTGCTCCTCACTTCTGCAGCACTTTCCTGCCATCCAAGCTCTCTCAGGAGATCAAGGAAGCTCCCTCAGGAGAACAAAGCTCCCCTGCTCCTGCTCCTGCCTGGAAGCTCCTTGCTGGCTGTCACCCTTGCCAGGAGCCCTGTTGTGCCGCCCACCTGCAGGCAGCTGTTCATAGCTCAGGGCTCAGCAGGGCTCAGTGCTGTTGATGGAAAACAGAATCTGCCAGCAGATTCTGACCCTGACCCTCAGCCCCTGCACCAGAGAGGATTTGATCCCTGCAAGCTCTTGCATGGCTCTCAGGCAGCCCCAGACTCCCAGGGAAGCTGGCAGCCCTGGCACAGAGCTGGAGCCCAGGATGGGTGGAGAACATGAGAGCCCCACAGGAAACTTGTGGTTTTGATGAGGTGGACAGGGAGAGGCAGTGCCTGCCTGTGCCAGGGTGAGTGAGGGGAACAGCTGCCTCCCTGCTGGCAACAGGGAAGGAGGGAGCCCTTCTGTCCCTCCAGAGAGTCAGGGTCCAGGCTGGAAGTGACTTATCCACCTTTTATACACTTCCTGAGCCCTGTGGGAATGGGTCACGGGAAAGCACACATGGCCAGGGTCATCTCCTCCAGGGCCAGGAGGCACATGGGGCACCTGCTCCTGCAGACAGTGTGTGACACAGCTGGAGCCACTCATGTCCCAGCCACCCTCTCCACCTCCACAGCAGCCTGGGAGTGTGTGCCCAAACAAGAGAAGCACACAGTCTCTGCCAAACTGCCTGGGCCCAGTCACACAAGGGCATGGCTGATGCTGTGCAGGATGCTGGGATGAGCCTTGAAGGGGAAGGATGTGGCCAAAGGACTCCATGGTGGAGGGCAGCCTCTTGTCCTCCTTTGAGCTGTCCTACATTGCCCATCAGCCAGCAAGAAGCAGAGCCAGTGACCACTTTCCCAGTGGTCCTGGAAGCCAGCTGGTCATCCTGGCACAGCACAGTCCCAACACTGTGCTGACAACTTTGCTTTCCCTCATCCCATTCACCTCTCCAGACACCACACATTGATGTCTTTCATGTGCCATCCTCAGACTGGCCCCTGTGTCCCCCAGGCCAGCAAAGGAGGGAGCTGGGGACAGCCACATCCCCAGCCCAGCATGGATGGAGCCATGGTGCACTGGAGAGGACAAGGTCCCTGCCATGCAGGGGTGACCCAGCCACCACAGAGCCTCAGCAGCACCGACCTGGAGACACCAGGATTGCCAAGAGCTCAGCAGTCACAACCAGCTCTGCCCTCAGCTTCATCAAGAAGCAAAATCAGGAAGAGAGAGGGTCAAAGTGGAACACCAGCAGCCATGGGTGAAACCAAGGAGTGAGCAGGGACAATGGCATCGCGTGCCCAACGCTCTGTGTGACGTGGCAGGGGTGAAGGTGCCACTCACCCTCCCGGAGGCTGGGCACTCCCTGGGGCAGGCACAGGGCACGGGTGGGAAGGTCTGACAGGATCTGTGTCCCAGTGCCCCCCCTGGGGAGGAGCCTCTGGCCACAGCACACAAGCCAGGCTCCAGGTGTTTGCTTTCCAGTCTCCTGGGCGGGTGATAACCACCCGCTCCCAGCCAAGGCTCCAGCTCACCATGCTGAAATTCAAGAGGTATTTGATCACGTAAGTGGAATATTTTTATGTATTTATTTAAGTCAAATACTATTTCCCTAAGTAAAATTCTCTTTCTGTCCCACCTGGAGGTGATGTTCTGACGTCCTTGCAGACCCCTCCATGTTGGGAAACAGCTGAAGTGGTGATGGGAATGGGCAGGCAGATGTTTCTGCTCCTCATCACTGCAGGGCAGTCTGGGGTGATGGGGATTTTCCCTTCTGGTGATGCTCCAAGGGCAGCTGGAACATTGAATCTTTTGTGATGCTGTTGCCACAAAGGAATGAGAATGGCACAGACCTTGGCAGGGCACTGTGATGCTGGTCCCTCCCGCAGCATCCCAGGTGAGGGATCACCAGAGGAGTAGATGTGGAGCAGAAATGTGTCTCTGGGCAAGTTTTTCACATGGCAGCCCCTAGGGTGAGGTGCCCCCTTCCACAGGCTCTGATTTGGACAGGAGGGATGAGGGAAGGGCAAGGCTTGACTCTGCAGCAGAGTCCTTTGGCTGGGGGAGAGCTGCAGGGTGAGAGGGCTCAGGGTTATTCCCAACCTCTCTATCAAGTGTAGGGTGGGCACTGATGCAGGCAGGCAGTGCCATTGTGCCCTTGCTGTGCTACCTGAGCATCCTGCTGACCATTTTGCCCAATTTCTCATTTACTGCCAAAAAAATTGGCTCCAGTGAGTGGTCAGAGGGAGGCTGTGGCTGGTGTACATACTCTGTACATTAATTCCTTGTGCAACTTTGCTCACTACCTGGAGAATATCTGGGCATAGCAAAACTGTAAAATCTTTTTTTGCCACTCACCTGCCCGGTGAGCTCAGCCTCAGCACCTGGGTGGGACCCTGAGGGCCCTGAAACATCCAGCCAGCCCCATCCTGGCTGGGGCTTTTGTCTCTGGGAGACAGGGAAGGGCATGGGCTGGAGGGAAGATCTGCTTGGAGCAGGGGGGGAGTAACAGAGGGGAAATCTGCAGCCCTGCTGAGAACAAGTGGCACCCTCTGCCCTGCTGGGGCTGGCACTCAGACAGCTGGAGCACCATCCCTTGCAAAGATTTGAGCATCAGTTCAGGTTTGGATTCAATTCCTGGAGCCAGCAAAGGGGGATCCAGCTGCTCTGGCTCTTCCACTGAGCCCTTGCAGCCAAAGGCATCTTTGGGGTGCTGCATCCAGCTCTGCACCCTGCTTGTCACTTCTGGAGGTGACAGCACCCAGGCTCTGGTCTGAGGGGGCTCTTCAGCTATCGCCTGCCCACAGATGGAGGCATCTCCAAAGACTCTGCAAGAGCTGGGCTCTTGCAGCCCAATCTGCCCTGCAGGGCTCCAAGTGCAGCCTGGACACCTTCCTGGTGCTCTGGTCTCAGGTGTTTAACTCTGCCCCAAGATACACAGCTCTGATCCCATCCCAGAGTGTAAATGGAGAGCAGGCTGTGCAGCACAGAGGGCAGCTGAGCCTTTTGAAGGTTTGTTGTTCAGGTACTTCTTGCCAACCTGCTCCAGCCTCCAAGACAAGGGCTGCTCATGCATCATGTGCCATTTAATGGGTGTTTTGCTGCCTTCAGTGCAACTTCTTGGCAATTTGAGCGCTGTCACTTTCTCAGCACACCCTCCTTGATGTCCCTGTATCTCACAGAGCCAGCCCAGAGGAGGAAGGAAAGGCTGTGGCTTTGTGCCAGCCTGGCCTGCCCCAACACATGTCAGCTCAACACGTGTTGTGTTCTCAGCTGGGTGTTCCACCAACACACCAGCCACCTCAAAAGAGCCAAAGGACCTGGATCTTTCACAGATTCTCTCAGGTTGAAAGTTTAGGACCTCCGTGGAAGCAAGGCCAGGATTATACCTGCACCAGATCCAGATAAGGGAGTGGCAGAGGGTGCTGTCCCCAGCCCTGCCTGGGGGGAAGTGTTCCATCATTCTGCCTTCACTACTGGGTGCTCCTGCAGGTCCCCCCGAGAGTTTGTGTGTACCACTAAATATCACAGTGGGGCAGCTCTTCATTCCCTCATTGCTGCTTGTCCTACCATGGTCAGCCAGACCAAATGATGACCAGCCTTGCCTGGAGTGATGGGAAAGGTGGATCAAGTTCCAACCATCACTTCATTCTGGAGCATCTCCTCCCTCTGTGGTCTCTCTGATCTTCCACATGGAATTATTTTAACAAACCTTTCCTCACACTAGCTCTGGTCTCTACTTCAACCCTCCCTCTTTAACACCTCTTGGCATTTTAAGCTCTCTTTAAGCATTTGGCATTTTTCTGCTCTGTTATTTGTCACATCTGTTAATCTCTGACCTCACAAGGGTTTCCTTGTGCTACTGGCATGGCCATGCAGTGACCCACACGTGCATCTGCCACCTCCTGTCTCATCTGACTTGGCAGCCTGCTCCTCAAGTGGCAAAGAGCATGGGCACCTCCAGGTTGCCATGGGGATTGGGGATGCTGTGATGGGCAGTAATCCCGTGCAGTGATGACACCTTCTGAGTCCTCAGCAGCACTGCCATGGCCTAAGACCTCCCAGCCTTTCCAGTCCTGAGTACCTCAGACACTAAAATCCTCCTGGGAGCAGCTGGGAGTTTCAGCTCAGTGAAGGCACATTTCTGGGAGCAGAGCAGAACCGTGTCCATGAGTGTCCAACCACTGCAAGCAGTGCTGTCATAATCAAACCACTACTTAATCATGACAGCTGATGATTTTCCTGGAACAAAGCCAGTTTCTGAGTAGCAAACCTAAATTCCTGACCTGTACCCATGGGATGCACATGACCCCTTCAGACAGCCCACATTTGTGTCACTGCTGCCTCACCAAGAGAGCTCACAGCAGTGCTCAGAGCAGGATGTAAAGCACCATGGAGGTGAGGAAGCTCTGGGACAAGCAGCTCTGTGCAGTCCCAGTCCCACTGTCCTGGTCCAAAGCTGACTACTGCAGGCAGGCAGAAATCCCAATGAACACAGGTTGGTTGAAATGTGGCTTCCAAGCAGGCTGTGCCCAGATTTCTGCTGTCATTAATTCCTCCCATTCAGATCCTTGCTGCCTGTGAGTCTCCCTCCCTGAGAGGGGAGAGCAACCACCTGGGGCTGACTGGCTGGACTTCCCCCACAGCAGAGCCCAATCCCAGAGGGTTTAACCAGATCTTCAGGACAAATCATCTCCTGTTATGCCACAATGAGCTCCCTGGGGAAAACCCAGCAGCATAATGGCATCATTCAGGTTGCAAAAGCCCTCAAAGATCATCGAGTCCAATCTTTCCCCCAACACTGCCAAGGCCACCATTAACCCATGATTCCAAGTGTCACATCTCCTGAGACTGGACAACCTTTATGTGAAAAAAACCAAACAAACAAATCCTTTTTTCCAGGAAATTCAGCCCCTCGACTGTTCTACTGAAGATTAAAGCTACAATCAAGCTCCACCAGGGTTTGCAGCAAGCCCTACAAACAGAAGGAGCCCTCTGGCAGCATTTCCATGGCCTTAATGTCACCATACACAACCCAAAGCCTGACAGCACAATTCTGATGGCCTGAAGAAATAACACTGTTGTTGTAGACATGGCTAAAATCAGACCAAAACCCAGGCACTGCTGGGGCCCTCATGGTGGCACCACATCTGCAGCCACAGCTGGAGCCTGTGCAGATGGCAGTCCAACAGCAGAGAGTGGGGAGAGCAGGGAAAAAAGAGTTTTATTGTCCAAGACAAGATCCTGATCCTTCTTGGCCAGGCAGGGCAGGGAACACACAGGCAGTGCCCTGTTCCTGCTGCCCGGGGGGAGCTCTGGCTGCTCCAGGAAGGTGTCCCTGAGCAGCCAAGGGACTCAGTGGTTATCACTGTTTGCTTTTCAGCACAATGCCTGTGGCCCATCTGGAAATTTCCACGAGGCTGCACTGCTGGGGCACAGCCTCGGAGGTTCCCCAGTTATCGCTGCCTCTGCATCATTTCCGCCCCTGAAAACGTGACCTTACCTTAAATATAAAAAAAAAAAAAGCCTCAAGGTGCCTCTCCCACCTGCCTCACACACACCACTGGTCTTGGCTTTTCCTCCCCACAAATGAGCTCAAATGTCTGTTTCCTTGCAGGAAGCTGAGTGCAATCTACAGGTGCCAGCCAGGTCGGCTCTGGATCTCCTTCAGCCTCCTCGTCCTCCTCCTGGTCACACTTCAGGTTGTGGAGAAGCTGCAGCCTCTTGGGTAGGTCCTGAGCACAATTATACACCTGCACCTCCTTCTCCAGCCTTTTGCTGGCCACTGAGGTGGGCTCAGAACTGCCCTCCTGAAAACCACCCAGCAGGGTCTTCCTTAGACAGGGAGGAAAATCCAGGAGAGAGAGGGCCCTTTGGGGGTCCCACAGCTCACCCCTGTGCCCTGGCCAGAGCTGAGCCCACCCTGGGTCAGACAAGGCTGCTCTGGGCTTTGTCCTGGCTTACCACAAAACTTTATAGCCCTTAAGCCCAGCCCTCCCAGTCTAGGGTTATCTGCAATGGTTCCTCCAGCTTCTCCAGACCACCAGCTCTTCTCTCTCCTTGTCTTCTCTTGCTCTGCCCCTTCCACCATCCTGTCATGCTCCAGCAGGACAGAGACACTGCCACATCACTGCTGACCTGTCCTTCTCCTCTTCATAGAATCATTAAGGTTGTAAAGGACCTCCAAGATGATCGAGCCCAAGTTCTTGCACCCCCAGCCCTCAGGGCAGAAATGAAGCCCATCAGCAAGGCCACCCACCCCATGAAAAGGAGGGAACATGTTTTGGGTTGACTCTGGGGGGTGAGGGGGTTCATTGGGCTGCACCCTCTGCATTGTCCTCCCACCTCCTGCAGCTGAGCATTGTGTCCTCCCCATCACAGGAGCTGCCAGTGTGAGCTGGAGCGGGGTCTGCAGCAGACCACAGGCCACGAGCTCAGCTCTGCCCTGCACAGCCCCCACCTGCTGTGGGAGGATGACTCCCCTCAGGGGCAGAGGAAAATTGAGCCAGCCCCCACGTCGACCGAGGATGTTTCCAGGATGCATCTGTACCTCAGACAGGAGACCCCTCCAGGCAGCAGCCAGGAGGAGAGCTGGATGCAGCAGCCTGGGGAGAGCAGTGAGAAGGTGAGAGCCCATCTGTCACCCACAGAGCTGAAACCCCAGTTTCCTGGCCTGGAAAACACAGCCAGAGAAAATCCTTCTCTAAGCCCTCCCGGGAGGGTCGCTGCAGATTTGGCAGAAGCCGTCACCAGCAAGTTCATCATCTTTGCAAACAGGCTGAGCACAGAGGAGCAGAGGGGAATGTCCCCACCTGGAATGGTGCAGGTGGAGGTACAGAGCCAGACTCAGCCTCAAGCTGTGAGTTCTCTCCACCCTGAGTGGGGCACCTCATTTATACAGCCCATCCCAAACTCACCCCAACCTCTGCAGGCAGAGGATTCTTACAAAAGAGACCTGGGGACAGGATTTCTCCCAAGCTGGACAGAAGCCTTTAAGATTCAGGAGGTAACAGCTGGAGAAGCCCAGCAGGCCAGAGGAGTCACCTCTCAAGGGAAGACGTGCAAGCCCAAGACTGACATTGTTTTCCTGAAGGTCCACAAGAGCGCCAGCAGCACGGTCATGAACATCCTGTTCCGCTTTGGGGAGATGCACAACCTCACCTTCGCCTTCCCCCAGGGCGGGGGCTTCCAGCTCTACTACCCCCACCACTTCCTGGCCAAGTTCGTGCAGGGCTTCTCCCCTCTGAGCCCCCGGCAGTTCAACATCCTCTGCCACCACATGCGCTTCCTGCAGCCGGAGGTACGGGCAAAGCTGCCACCGCTGGGGGCACGGGCAGGGAACGGGGACAGGGGCTCGGGGGGCACAAGGAGGGGCACCTGTCGAGCACATCAACTCTGCAGGGATGAACTAAAGAGAGGCAGGATTGCCCACGGGTACCTGGTGTGTTGTTGGCACCTCCTGAGAGATTCTGTGAGCGGGTTTGATGAAGCTGTGCTGTGAGCCATGGCAAAGTGGGAGACAGCACTTGTAACAGCCAGCAACTCTCATCTCTCTCTTGTCTGGTGAGCCCTGGGACATGTCCTGCTCCCTGGACAGGCCCAGAGGGGACCAAGAGGAGAACAACCAAAGTGCATCAGCTCAGGTCAGCTGTGCCCAGCATCCACCCCTCTGGGTGCCACCTCAGGACAGGTGGAGATGGGTAAAAGGAAGGAGATGGGCAGTATCTTCATCCCAGCCCAGCCACATAGCTGTAGCAGCCCACTGTGGGGAGCTTTGCTCACTGCTCTCCCCGTGTGACTCTTCTGGAGCTCCCTATAGTTATCATCTTATCACAGGGGTTCCATACTGTTATCTCCTTATCTCAAAAGTTTCACAGTGTTTCTCATGGGTACCTCCTCGGAACACTGCCTCTTTCTTCTTCACAAAGCAGCCAACCAACTCCAGTTCCCTCCTCAACCAGCCACCCCATTCTTTTATAGCATCTTCTTCTCATTGCTTACAGCTGTGGCCTGTTAAAGTCAGGCCTGTTCCTAATCTTTGATAATTGGCCCAGCTGCAACTCCTTAGGGGTAAGATTACTTTCTACACTATCTTTATTTTCTTATATTCTATCCCCTACATCCCCACAGCTCCTTTGATGAGCTGCACCCTGAAATCCTCCCCAGCACCCACCTCTGCTCACCAGCATTGTGGGTGAGTGGGTCTCTTCTCCTGCCCTACCTTCAAACCCTTCTTTTCCTCCTCCACAGGTGCAGAAAGTAGTGCCCAGCTCTGCCGTCTACTTCTCCATCCTGAGGAACCCCGTGCAGCTGATGGAGTCCTCCTTCGTGTACTACAAGGGCGCCTCGGCCTTCTCACGCGTCCGCAGCCTGCAGGAGTTCCTCAGCCAGCCCTGGCGCTACTACGACCCCGCCAGCGGCGACCGCCACTACGCCAGGAACCTCATGACCTTCGACTTCGGCTTCAACCCCGACGGGGACGTGTCCCCCGAGCGGGTGCAGCTCATGCTGAAGGCCATCGAGGCGTCCTTCGACTTCCTGCTCATCTCTGAGTACTTCGATGAGTCCATGGTGCTGCTGAAGGAGATGCTGTGCTGGGACCTGGACAGCGTCGTCTCCTTCCCGCTCAACAGCCGAGACAGCAGCACCAAGTCCCCGCTCCCGGACTCCATCGTGGAGAAGCTGAAAGCCTGGAACAGGCTGGACTGGGAGATCTACACGCACTTTAACAGGACCTTCTGGGAAAGGCTCGACCGCCTCATCGGCCGGGAGCGGCTGCGGCGGGAGGTGAGGGCGCTGCGGCAGCGGCGGGCGGAGCTGGCCCGGGCCTGCCTGCAGGGCACGGGCAGCGTGGGCCCCAAGGACATCAAGGACAGCTCCCTGCGGCCGCTGCAGCACGGCGGGGCCCGGATCCTGGGCTATAACCTCAAGCAGGGCTTGCCTCGGGAGCTGGAGCGGACCTGCCGGCGGCTGGTGACGCCGGAGCTGCAGTACAGCAGCCTCCTCTACAAGAAGCAGTTCCCGCCGCCGCCGCCCCGTGAGAGCCCCCGGCCCGCTGCCTCCCCAGCCCCGCCTCACCGCCCGGAGCCCACCCGAAACTGAGAGCCCCGGCCCGCTGCCTCCTCAGCTCCATCCTCCGCAGCGGCCGGAGCCCACCCGAAACTGAGCCCTCCTGGACCCTCGGGCATCCTTCCCCATCTGCTGAGGACAGCGGGGCTCCATCTGCTGCGGACAGCGAGGCTCGGCCCTCAGGCATCCTTCTCAGTCTCCTGAGGACAGCGGGGCTCGGCCCTCAGGCATCCTTCTCTATCTCCTGAGGACAGCGGGGCTCGGCCCTCAGGCCAGAGCTGCCCTGCCCGAGCCCTCTGTCCGTGCCTCGCTGGGCACAAGCTCCGGACAGGCAGCAGAGGGGGTCCCAGGGGCTGGACAGGACTTTTCCAGAGGGAAATCCCCTCAGACAGCAGCTGGAGCCTCAGGACAGCACCGGCTCCAGCAGCGAGGAGCAGGTCCAGGAGGGCAGCCCAAATCATCAGTGGGGTGTGACAGAACAGGGCCAAGCTGTAAATCAGAGCTGTGGGCAAAAGATCCCAGCGGGATTGACTCTCCCAAAAAATCCCAGCAGGATTTATTCTCTCAAAAAAATCCCAGTGGGATTGACTCTCCCAAAAAAATCCCAAAAGTTTTGATTTACAGCGTGAGAATGAGTCTGTCTGTGCAGCTGCACCTTGTCCCTGCCCCGTTGATGTTACCATGCTGGAAAAGCAGCCTCTTAATTAAAAATAACAACAGTCACTGTCACTCCTTAAATTCCTCTTAATTACATCAATCTGCTCAGTAGATTACCTCCTCAAAAGCCCCAGAAGCACATCCCAAACATTTGAATGTGTCCTAATATGTCCTGAAAAGTGGGGGGAAAAAAACCCCAAAAAAACTCCAAAACAAAACAAAAAAAACCCCAACCAACCCCCCCACCAAAACAAACAAACAAGCAACCCCCCCCCCAAAAAAAAACTCCAAAAAACCCCCAAATAAACAAAAAATACAAACAAAAAACAACCCAGAAAAAAGGGAGTCCCGAGCACTATTTTGTGCTGACTGTGGTTACAGGTTGCCTATGGATGCTGAATTTATAGGATCAACATCCTATTCTGCAATGTCAGACTCAAGTTCCACCCCTGTGTCCTGGGAAATATCCCACAGGAATGGCTTGTGGACGGCAACCCAGCCTGATTTTTCCATCCTGCACTTCTCCTTGAATCAAAAGCAGAGCCAGCAAATCAGCTGGGATAAACAGGAGCCCCATCTGTGGCTTTTCAGCACGATTTCCAAACCAAAAAAGGTTCTGAAAAAATTGCCCAGAAGGATCTGGGTGTCCCTGGGGCAGGTACAAAGAGTCTCAAAGGTTTCAGCTTCCACCAAAGGTCTCCTGCTCAGTTTAACCAGGAAAAAAGCCAGACTGTGCTCCCAGAGCCTTTCTTGGGGCAGTGCCAGGCATCCAGCCAGGCACAAGGAGAGGGCACCATTTGGGGATTTTGCTCCTTGGCTTTGGGGTTTTTTATGAAGTTTCATCTCTGAGGCACATCTGTGCATGGCTGTGTTGGTCCCTTCCCTCGTTTCTCCTGTTGGGATGTGGGGTGGGCTCATGGTGTCAGAGGTCTGGGGTTCCTGCAGGTGCCTCCAAAGGGCAATCCCAGAGGAAATCACCTGGGATGGGCAGCCCAGAGGCCCAGCAGCGCCCTGGGGATGTCTCCCCATGGACACAGCAGAGTGTGGACAGGAGCAGGGCTGCACACTGGGTACCAAACCTGCATCTGACACCTCCACTCCAGGTTTTCACTGGGTGCCTCTTGCTTATACCCTGTTTGCACCTCAGGAAATAGGAGCAGGTAATTCCTGTCAGGAGCTCTGATCCAGGGCAGAGATACTGGAACAGCCAGAGCATCACAATGTCCCTGTGCTGTCACCCAGGGTGCAGCTCCCATGGGGTGCCCTGGCCCCAGCACAGCCTGGGGGGATCCCCATTGCCAGGAGGTGTTTCCCCCCTTTCTAGAGTAGGCAGCAGGAAGGGCAGAGGTGGTTTGGGCACCACAGTGACTCCCATTTTCAGGGATGGCTCCCAGGAATGACATCACTCACCCAAATGCCAACCACAGCAATTTATTTTTTCCCCCCCCACAAACTGTAATTTTATAGTTAGGAGTATTTCACCTAGACATGGAGCAGAGCACAGGGATGCACAGAAGCTGCCTGGGTCTTTTTTTTTTTTTTTTCCCTAACCATAGACCCTTTTTACACCATTTCTTGATGTTTTACAGCACCAAAACCCAGGCTAAGCACATCCCCAGAGGAGCAGGTCCTCCTGTGGCCAGTGAACTCTCTTGCTTTGGAGCATTTTTAATTCCTCTCCAAGACTTGCCAGGTTCAGCCTGTGCAACTCAAGGACTTCAGGCCAAGTTTAACTCAAACCCCACCAATTTTTAACCAGTATCCATTAATAACTCAAAAGATCAAAGCCTGTTTCCTCCCCATCCCAAGTGTCCCGGTCAGTTACTGGCTTATGCTTTGTTTTTAGGGCTGCAAGAGACCCAGTGGGGTTATTGCAGGCACTGCACGATGCAATAACCCCGGGTTGCTCAAGCCTGCCCACGGAACGGTCCCAGCTCTCTGTAAAATTCCTGGCAGCACAAGACAACCGGCAATTTATGCAAAAGCGTTCCGTGTTTTCTCTCTGAGCCAGCAGTGTGGGCTTGAAACATTTCGGGCTCTCCAGGGAGGCTTTCAAAGCAATTCCCAAAGGAGCTCAGGGGCATCCTGCAGGATTCCTTTGTGATTCTTAAAGGACTGAACGAGCTGCAAAATCCTCCACACCGGGAAACCCTTTCCCAGGAAAAGGGCTGCCGGGATCTCTGGGCTCAGGCACGGGGCTCCGAGTTGCTCTTCCCTCCTTTCCTCTTCTTCTGTGGTTTGTCACCCTCCACCTGCGCTGTCACCTTTGCCTTGGGCACTTTGTATTTGCTCTTCTGGCTGTAGAGGAGGTTTTTCTGGAAGAGGCGTGGGATGTTGCCCTGGAACAGCAGGAGGGCAGCGAGCATCCCTGCAATGAGAGCACAGATCCCTTCCGAGTGCTATGTGGAGAATCTCCAGCCTCCCCACAGCTCAGCAGCGGTTTTGGGTCCTTGTCACCACCTTCACCATGACCAAAAGGCAGCTCAGCACCACTGAAGTCCCCACTGAGAGCTGAGGGACCCTCGCTGTTCTGCTTTAAGGAGAATTTACCACTCTTATGTCCTTAGCATAACAAAGAGTGCTTCTTTTGACCCATAAACCACCCCAGTTTTCTGGCAGAGAATCATTAATGTTGGAAAAATCCTCTGAGCCCATCAAGCCCACCCATTCCCTCATCGTTGGTCGTGACCCCAGTGCCACATCCAGGTTTTTAAATCCCTGCAGGGACAGTGTCTCCACCACTGCCTTCAGCAGGGTGCCAGTGCCTGACCACCCTTCAGGGAAGAACTTTTCTCAATACCCAACCTAAACTTCCCCTGGGGCAACTTGAGGCTGTTCCCTCTTGTCCATCTGGGAGCAGAGCCCGACCCCCACCTGCTCCACTCTCAGCACACATCCAGGTCCCCATGACCACACTGGAGCTGGGGACAACCCCAAAGCACAGCTCAGCCTGCCATTGCCCTAAAACACCTCTGCTAAACCTCCCCAGACTTTGCTTTCAGGGAGATTTCTGCCCTCGTACCACGCAGAAGTTGGATTTTAAAAAACTGGATAGCAGAGATGACCCCAGAGCCAACGAGGCAGGATGAAAAGTGACACTTGCCACTGGCAACCCCAAATTCAGCTCTTTGCCAGAACAGTCCACGTTACACTGAGCATTTCTGCCTTGTCCCCATGCCAGCTCCTGCCCCTGGGAAGATCTCACCTGCGAGGGGACCCAGCCAGTAGACCTGGATGTAGTCCCAGAAGCTGCTCCCCGAGCAGTGGAAGGTGGTGGCTGTGGCCAGGGCAGGGTTGAAGAAGGCCCCCGTGTACGGTCCAGCTGTGTGGGAAGAGAAACGTGGCCAACAGTCCCACTGCATCCTCTGGAACACTGAGAAAGGGCTGAGACCCCTCCTGTCTGCCTCCTCAGACTGGGGAAATCCCACCCTTGTGGCCCTGAGCTTTGTGGGAAGCAGGAAAGCTCAGTGCAGGACTGGGGGATTGCAGTAGGGGAGGTTCCAGGGAAGGGATCCCAGTCTTGAGCTACGGCTCTGAGCCCAAAATTCACCTGCAGCCTGTCACTGTCACATTTTCTAAAAAAAATCCCCTTGCCCAGGATTCTTCTCCTGGGAAGCTGAGAAACCACAGAGAAAAAGGAAAACAATATTATCTCATTTGCTTCTCCTGTATTTTGCCCCTTTGGAATGTGTTTGGAGATTGTTTACCCACAGGTGATTGTTTCATTGGACTCTGCTGTGAGTTGTTTTCACTCTTTGGTCAATGAGAGCCAAGCTGTGCTGGGACTCTGGAAAGAGTCACGAGTTTTCATTATTATCTTTTAGCATTCTGTAAGTATCCTTTCTGTATTCTTTAGTCTAGTATTCTTTTATATAATATAGCATCATAAAATAATAAATTAGCCTTCTGAGAACACAGAGTCAGATTCATCATTCCTGCCTTTGTCTGGGAACCCCACTAATACAAGAGCAGCCCAAATAGCCCAAACTGCCACCCTCATCCCAAAATGAACACTCCACAAAATAACAGAAAACAAACACCTTAGTAGTCATTACCTTGTTAACCCCTACCTCTGCAGTCCTGGAAGATGTAAAACAGGGGGCTGTTCCTCCCCCCAAATGAGGTATTTTTCCAAATGACTGAGGAGAAGAAAGGCCAGTGCTGCTCACCTGTGTAGATCAGGAAGGTGACAGTGGCTGCCAGCGCAGGGACCCGGTACAGGGGGTGACTCTGTCGCACCCTGAGGAGGATGAGGTGGAACAGGAAGGAGCAGGAGCCCTCCACGAAGGCAGCATGGGGCAGGGAGGCGCGGATGGAGGAGCTGCACTCGGGAGCGATCAGGTTCTGGATGAAGTGCAGCTGTGTCAGCTCCCAGG